CTCACTCCCCTGGCTTCAGGATAAGAGCGGTTAAGGAGAATCCCGAAAATCGCGGGGCCCACGAAGCCCATAAACACAAAAGTATAAAACCCAAAACCCTAGAGCTAGGACGACAGATTACACTTTTGAATGCTCTGGCTTTGAGGCTTGACCTAGGAAAAAATCCTAGTGCACCCCGTGGCCGGAACAATATATATATATATAATTATTTTTTATTATTATCATCATCGTCATATTACAATCAGCCTCACTCACCACCGGTATTATAATTATTGTATTGTCCTTGTCATAAAAAATCTATTATATAACAATTCTTATTTATTTTCTCTATCACGAATGCAATACAAGTTGAAGGGACCTACTCAGAAATGTCAGAGACAGGTGGCAAAGAAAAAGGTTCCGATGAGTCCGACTCCTACAGGGGAGGTGTCACCATTGGAGGAGTCATTTTCTTGCTCAATAATATTTTGTTTAGTTTTGATCCTAGTGTTGACGATGAGGTAATCTTCTATCACTTTCTTTTACAAATTACAAGAAGCATCAAGAATTCATAGTAGTACCGTAGCTTGGAAGTAGCAATATATACTTTCCTAAATTACACAACATAAATTTAATTGTTAAATAATATTGAAAAAACTTAAGTTTCATATTATTAAAAAGAGTTGCTCAATATTTATCATAATCTTATTAGTTACAATTTAATTTTGTTAGGTTGAGTTAAAGCCAAACTACTTTCTAAAAAAATTGTTTTGTGATCTTGCCGACCGTGCTCGATTATCCCTATCGTGTTGAAAGTATTGCTCAAACTTATGTCTTGGTTAGTGAAACAAATTATCTTGTTCTTGTTCTTTACCTAAAGTTGCTGAAAGGTATGCAATAGGATATGTTAACGTTAAAGCATTTTGACTAACATAATTATTCAAAGGAATGCATGCTTTTAAATAATAGAGTTGTCTTCTGTAATGTCCTTTAACATCTATTTTACAATGCAACACACACACAATGATCAATGCTGAAAGTTTCACATGAGAAGGTCAATGCAAACCCATATATCTGAATTAATCTACTCACTTTAAAAGATTAGATTAGCGTTGCATATTTCTGGTATAAGTTGAGAGAGTGAGAAACTAA